AAGCAACTCCGAGTGGCTTCTTAGCTGAGATACAAAAATTAGATAAATTTATCAGTTTGCCATTGATAAAAATAATTCTCTAGCCAGGTGTGGTAGCACAAATCTGTACTCTCAGCAGTTGGGAGGCTTAGGCAGAAAGATTGCCATGAGTTTTGGCCAGCCTGGGGTACATAGAAAGTTCAAGGCCAACCTGGGGTATATAGTGAGATCCTGTCTCATCTCCCTCTCCAAGTTATTTTTCTAAAATAAAAAGGTGTTTGAGCCAGACTCAGGAGATCTCTGTGAATGTCAAAGGTCACTGTCCAATAGTAGTGATACTGTCTGTAAAGCAAGACTATTTTTACTGTGATTTGTGGCTACCATAGGAAAACAAAGTTAGAAGAGGAGTAGGCACTGGAAAGGCATCTGCTAATCTTCATACTGTCTGAACATACAATGTATTTTCTCCAGTGACATCTTTCTTGACCTGGAGAAATTTGTAACAACTGCTTTTCTTTACTCTTCATATTCAAGTGGTAAAATACCATGATACCATGATTCAAGAACTATAAAATAATAGTTCTACTAAAGATCTAATAAAGACCTATTCTTTGTGAAATTTTGGGTGATTTTTTTTCAGTACTAGAGATTGAATTCAGGGCCTACACACTAAACTATGTGTGTAGCACCCTTGCTCTTTAAAAATTTTATATTTTGAGACAAGGTCTTGCTATATTGCTCAATTGCCAAACCTGTGATCCAATTTGTGATCCTACTGCCTCAGGCTCCCACCACACAGAGATGAGATGTCTGTACTGAAGCTCATGTATTCCCTCTCTGTGCTCACAGGATAGTTAACATGCAATTTTTCCATTCTACTCAGTGTAACTGTATGAAATGGCTGTATTCTATAACATTCTTGTGTTTAAAATATAGGAACAATGAAATACTATCAAAATAAACAGGCAGGGCTCTAAGTACATGCAAACTCTAGGAAAGTAGAACATTAAATAACTTTTTCCGTGTGGAGGTTTGTGGTCTCTAATCTTAAATCTACTTCAGTTCCACAGTAGAGAACGTTGGAAAATGCCAGCTGAAGAAAGCCGGTACTTTTGGCAGCCTCCTCTTCCTTCTTTTTCTGTAACCTGGCTTCTACTTCTACAAAGGTCAAAAGTCACAGAGAAACAGTAAACCTGGTAAGGAGTATTGCTTCTTTTTTTTTGCCAAATGAAAAAGTTCTTCAAGGGCTGGCGAGATGGCTCAGTGGTCTAAAGCACCTACATGGAACAAGCTTGGCAAAGCACAGGGACCACGGTTCGATCCCCCAGCACCACATGCCAGCCAGCCTCGCCCCCTGGTGGGCTGAGCTGGCCACACACACACACACACACACACACACACACACTAAATAAATACATGTTTAAAAAAAAAGAAAAGAAAAAGTTCTTCAAGTAATTCTAGACATTAGAACCAATGGAACTTTTAAAATCTTGTATTTAAAAGTTGGGTGGCATGTGCCTGTAGTCCCAGCTACTCAGAGGCTGGAGCAGCTTGTTCAGTTGGGGGCTAACCTCAACAACATAGTGAGACACCATCTGTCTAAATCAAATCAAACTAAACCACAAAATCTTGTATGCATTTCTCTGTACAGTCTTAGGTACTTCTTGTATTATCATTTCTTAAAAAAACCAAAGCATTAAATGTTGCCTTGACTTCTCTGTACAGTCTTACGTGCGTATTTCATCAGAATTTTTTTATATTTTGAGACTCATTTGTTCACTTCAATAATTATTTTTGTAGCTCCCATGGGATTCAGTGAGCAGAGAAAAGGCACAACTTTCTCATGGGACATCCAGGGTGTAACTGAAGTTTATCACATAATTATAAAAATTAATGACAATTTGTAACTCTATTAGATGTTCTAAATTAAGAGAACCTGGTGCTATGAAGTCATCTAAAAAGGGATCAGACCTGGGTAAGGAGGTCAGAGTAGACCTCCCTGGGGACACAGCAATTGCACTGGTAGGTGAGTGCTGAATAACAGCTAAAATTACACTAGCGCAGAGGGACAGTGAAGTACAAAAGCCTTTTGGGACCAGTGGGTATGAAACCTCCAAGAGAACCAAAGGAGGCATGTGCAGCTCATACACAGCTGGGGAGAATACGGATATGGCTAGAACAGAAGGTAAGGTCAAGCCTTGAAGGTATCAGGCCATAGGAAAAATATCACCTTTAGCCTAATGTTTAGGAGAACTGCCAAGGATTTATAAGCAACAAGGGATAAGATGAAGTTTGTGCCTTACAAGGATACTTAGAGTTAGAAAGCCAACAAAACACTAGGTAGGGAGGAGAGTGGTCAAAGGGAGATTGTGAGCCACCCACATCCCTCTAGGCTTCAGATGGTGGCACCCTGGTCAGGGTGCTGAGAAAGTGAGCTGTGGGGAGACTGAGGTAAACTGAACAGAATGTGGTGGCAAAGTGAATATATGGCCTGACTTGTGGGTTTCTCTGTTGGCAAAAACTTTTACAAATTAAGGCTTATGCAGACCTACTTATTTTCTGAAGAAGTATGACTATTTCAATGACCTTTCAGAATTAATTTCTTCAGCCAAGATTAATGGACCATCTTATATATTACATTGGCTGCTGGTGCTGCAGGCGTGGACAAGGCAGTCTCCCAGGAGGTTGTTCTGGTTGCCAGGTTTCAAGGAGAACATGAAAAATAGCACAATCACAGTAGAAACAGTGTTTAAACTATTGGCAGCCAATTTTTTTTTTTGTAAGTCACGAAAAAAAAGTTTTGTTTTTTTTTTTTTTCCTGTCAGTCCCAAGTTTATTTTTGAAAATTAAACCATTAGGATAGGTCTGATTTGCTCTGATGCAACATGGCTTCCTTGCAACTTCACCCAGTAAAGAATGGTGGACAAGATCTCTGCAGGTTGTTGGAAGTCCCTGGAGATACCTGATCCTGCTTACAGGCAGTGGCGGCCTGGAGGCTGCTCAGCCTGGAGGAAGAGGTGTTAAAACTCTGAGTCCTAATTCCTTAAAAATGGAAGAGTGGCTGGGTGTGGTGGTACATTCATGTAATCTTGATACTGGAGAGGCTGAAGCAGGAGATTACTGAGTTGGAATCTAGCCTGGATTATATAGCTAAGCCCTGTCTAAAAAAAAGAAAGAAAAGAACAACAACAACAAAAGAGAACTGAACTCCCAGCACCACATGTTGCCAACTGGATTCTGGGGTCCTGAGAGCAAGTGAGCCTGGAGCCTTGCAAGATGAAGCTTCTGGAGAATGCAGGGTTTTTAGATGGAACCAGAACAAGAAAATGAGAAAGAACGCAAAGACAGGTTCAAAGCTAGATAGTAAACTGAAGGAGCCAGGATTGGTACTGATCTCCTGTAACCCCAGCTCTGCCTGGATAATTTAGCAATTTGGTGAGATTCTACCTCAAAAAATAGAAAAGGGCTGGAAATATAGCTTAGTTGAAGGCCCTGGGTTCAGTCTCCAGGGCAAAAGAAGAAAATAAAAACCCTCAAGAGTAAGCAACTAGAATGCTCGAATTACATTGTTTCAGGAGCATAGGGAGGCTAGAATTTCAGAAAGAAAAGTGTTTCATAGTACTCTACAAATTCTAGAGTCTCTTACTGCCTCAAAGATACTAGGGGGATGGGAGGAAGTATAGCATGAGATGGGAAGCAGCAGAGATTGAAAAGCAGCCTGCTGAAGGGAAGGGTATTGTTCCTTTTTACACTAGCTAGTTTGAAAGAGATGTAAGCCCTTTCTCTCTCAACTAGCAAACAGCGCATTTGTAGATTAAATAACAGAAGTACACATTTATTTTGCCTTTGCCATTACCTCATGGATTATTACCAGATTGTTAGTCAAGGGAAGGCAGAGAATCAGGAAAATTCTGTAATTTTTGTATGGATCTATCATGTTAAATGTAATTTTTAGGTAAATTTCTTGAAACCTTATGCCTGAACCTTGGGAGAACCAAGGGAAATAATTAAAAATCAAGGCCATATTCTCATGGTTAGCTTTATATAAGTTTAGTGAAGTGAAAAATTGGATGCTCGTCTACACATTATTTTCTTTTTTAGTTGCTCCTTGGTACTTAGGAAAGGCTCTACTTGTTATTTTTATTAAAAAAACAAGCTTAGTTTTGCTAAGAGTATATTAGAAAAGTTCAACTCACAGTGGTTTAGGGAGTGATTTGACTTTTGTAGGGCTACAAAATGCTTAGGGGCTTAAAGAGAGAATCTTCCCTGCAAATACTATTTCTCAGTTCTATGAACGGTTGGTGCTCACTAGACAGGCACAAAACTGGCCAACGGTGATGCATCTTCTTTATTAGAATTTTTCTTGAATCTGTCATATTTCCAATCACCAAAATCTAATAAAACGGAACCACACAGGGACTCAAAACAATGACATTATTTATCAAAATAAATTTAATAAAAGTATTCAAAGACCATCTCAATATTTAGCTGCCTTCAAGACAGTTTTTGGCACTCACAATGGCTACTATAGTTTTCTACACAACAGCACTCATTCTATTTCACACACCATTGAGCAATTCAAACAGACCTTTGCAGTTTCAACACTACGTGAGACAACAGTACTGATGATCTGTACTCCTAAAGAACTTCAATACTTTACATACAGTAAACATTTTAATGTTGCGACTAAAACACTAAAACTAAAACCACTATGTGGTAACACAGAATGATTTAGGGAAAGATGCACAGCCAGCAAGCTAAGGCCACATAATCCCAGATCTATTGATTTTGAATGTTTTTGGACCAATAGTGCTACACCATGTCTTCATCTCACACTCCTGCTTTTCTGGTGACATATACCACGTTCAGTTACTATCCCTCTCTATACTCTTCACACAGCACAGGAAGCTGCTCAGATACCAGTAACCTATACTGTCTGCCTGGTTCACTATCCAACTTTGAATCAATAGTTCTGAGTGATGTTTCCTATACACTCAGGCTGAATTCAAGGTCAGTCTTTTTGGCAGGTCCTAGCCTTTCCCCTTAGGAAAAAAGATGAAATGTCCTCCGTTTCTGGATTCCTCCTTTCATCTCATGTAGCATGGGGCTCTGTGTTGATCTGTGGTTTTTTACACAAGTCCTGGTAGAATTCTGATTCCAAGAAACGGGGATAGGAGTTGTTCTCCATCAGACTGTAGACCCTTTTCTGGGCAGTTGTAAAGCAGCCACTTGTAGCTTCTTGTATATTTTGGGCAATCAGAGTTTTGGTCTGAAAGTCTATGTTTATCTGAAATAAGATCATAAACAAAAAAGTGGTTTATTTGGTATTCAGATTTAGAAACTGAAATTTTATATTTGAAAATAAAAATTCAGTAGATGATTAGTCTCACCAGCCAAGTTTATAGAAACTTAATTAAAAATTAGGATAGTGAGGGAAGGGCCTTTTTTACAGCCCTTAATTTAATGCTTACAGTTCTTCTGTTTTATTTTGGTGCTAGATTTTGCTGAAATAAACTTTTCTTCTTACCTCTTTTGGAGCTTCCTTTTCTATGAAGTCAGTATATATTTTCCTTGCTTTTGAGGACAGTTTTTGGGGTGATTTCGTTTTTTTGAAGTCTTCACAAGCCAACCAGAATTCAATATTTTCTTCACAGAACTCAGATTTTAAAAAGGCCCTGAATGCAGCAAGTCCATCTGAAGAAGAAAATAACATAGAGCATGAAGGACTGAGTGATCAAATAATCCCTTGTATTTGTCTAGTATTAGGATTAGCAATTTTCTAGATTGCACTTAAACTTATACTCAGAATATAAGTTTTTAAAGTCTAAGATGCGAGAAGACAAAATATACTCAACATCAGCACTCTGCTATACAATCATACTTAACTTTGCTTTTGATACAAAAATAAATATAGGACAGCCATAAATTCTCTGGTAACTAGGGCTCATGTAATGGAAACACTGATGCAACCTTAACTATGGGTGACTGTCATTTTAGTTTTTAGGCTAATTTTTCTGGCCCACCTAGAGCAAATACCACATGCTTTTCCATAACTAAATGCTGAGAAATAAAGGAGACAAAAACAGCCTTTATGCTATAGCATGTGGAAAGTGAAATTTCCCTCTGCAAGCACGTCATTTTTGGTCCTTATACAACCTCTCTAGGCTCTTGGATATCGCAGTGAATTGAATTCAAGAGGTTAACTTACATTTACTGGCTAGCAATTCATCAAAGGCTTCTGACCACAGCAGTGCTTCCTCAGGAGAAGGCCTGCAAGAGAAGGTCCGCCCATTAGCTTGTGCATGTCAGACTTCCCCTTCCAGTTTAGTAGCAGGGTATTCATATTTGCAAGTGCAAGAGTCCTAACTTACTTGATGAAAGTCTGCTGTTTGTTTTTCTTGCTGGTTTTGAGCTTCGCAGGAGTAGAGGAGTTTTGCAAAAAGTAGCTCAAACGGGTTTTCCAATCTTTTAGGCTAAAAACAAAAGAGGAAAAAAGAAACTCAATAAGTGGCAATGCTTGAATATGCTATTATAGCTGAAGGGATTTTTACTGAGTAAAGTAACTCAGTAGCTACAAACAAATCAAACATGACAAACCAAGACTCAAGTCACACTCTTACCCACTTAGTATTTAAACCGCCATAGATTATGAAATTGAACACAATTTCATTCATTCGCCAGAATATAACTAGCTTTATAATTAAGGATAGGGCTACCTAAAATCGCTATGACATTTTAATAAATTTAGCTTGCATAAATTTAGTTTGCAGATATGGGCAGATGCTATGTTAGGTCCACAAAAGGCAGCAGTTTCTCTGCAAGGTTAATCACACTTCAGCGGTACTTTTCATGTACCGCTGAAACTGCTGTCAACCAGTTCATACTCTTTCCCTTTCTGCCCTTAGAGCCCGCGGAGGGCGCGTACAAAGAGGTGTGCGCGATTGATTCCCCCACCAGCGCCCCCTTCTCCCCACCCACAACGCTCCTGCAAGCAGATACTGCAGAACAATTGCTTATTTCACCGCCGTGACTAGGTGAGATGTGCTCTACGACATAAAACGTGCATGCATAAGGCATATACTCAGAATCAGTCAAAACGTCTCCATCCAGCATTTGTGTAAACTGATCAGAACTCACAATGCAACATAGGAATGCTGGGGACGTGCGCGTTTCAGCTCCAGGCTTCTGATGCCATTTTATTAATTTTTTATTAGCATATATTTCTGATACATATCGAATATATTCATCATGGAGCATTGGTACGTACACAGCATTTTGATCCTTCTTACTTCCCCTTTCCGTCCCTCCCTCCCGTCTCAATGCAGAACAAAAAGCCAACCAGCATTCTCTTGGCACATCTACCACCGTCCTCACGTCAAGATTTCACAGTTCCTAAATTCTACCTTCCCTCACAAAACAAGAACACACCACAGATTTAACCTTACTTAATAAATTAACCTTTTCCTGCAGGCTACGATTTTTGTTAAGGTCAAAGCTAAGACCCGAGGTTTATTCAGAGAATAAGCTGGTCGGGAACGCGCAGGGGTTCTCAATGCTCTCAGAATAGAGAAAAAAGCCATACTCACAGCGTCCGTTTCATCTTCTGCCGCTTTTCCTCATTCTTGGGGCCGCTGCCTGCGCTCTTGTCCATGGGTACGCAGTCGTGCTGGACGGCCAAGAACATAGCACTCTGCATCACCGTCTCGGGCCGCCGAAGTCTGGGCAGCCGCGAGCGCCTCCAGATTTAAAACAGGCTGCGGCGCGCGGGCGGGGCTACACGGCGCTGGCCCCGCCCCCGAGGCGTGAGGATTGGTGGGCTGCAGCGGGCAGGGCGGGGCCGGCTACGACCCGACAGTCACGCCGCCGAGGAAGCGTCTCGAAGTGGGGGTGGTGCTGACGTACGCGGCGCCGGCGTCGTGCGCACGCAGGCGGGACTGGCGGCGGCCGGCTGGAGCGCTGTGGGAGCTGCAAGAGGCTCCTCGGTGTGAGCGACGCCCGCGACCTCTGCCGGGACTTGGCGGCGGGAGCTGGCTGCACGCCTAGCCTGCAGCAGAGGGCGGAAGGCCTGCGGCAAAAGGTCGCTCCTTGGTCCAGTCAGGGCCCGCGGCCCTATTTTGAATGTGGGGGGGGGAAGGGGGGCTTTTTACTTTTCTTCAGCTCTCTTTTTCCCCTTTGAGAACGTGCCCTTTCTTCCCGCGCCCCATTCTTGTTCACACGGTCAGGTTGTAAATACTCTAGGCCACCTGCCCCGTCAGCGCCTCAGGGAGACCCTGGCTTTGCTGGCACCTGGCGGCGGCTCCCTGGAAATGGGGAAACAAAACAAAGACACCGGAAGGGTTGACTACCAGGTGCGGGCGGAGCGACCTGCTCTGCAGCTCGCCCGGGAGTCTTGGAATACTTTGGGGGATGGACGTTAGTCAGGGAGGAAACGATTTTGTCGGAGGACGCGACTACTTAATGGGGTTTGCATTTTTGAGCGCCACTGGGGTCACGTGGCTGGATCCCTCTGTGAGGTTGAAAAGGATTGTTCCTCAGGAACCCTTGGCAGCAGCTCCTGCCAAAGCAATCATAAATCTTTTGTGATAAGTGATGGAGACACAAAGATTCTGCAGCTGTAATGCACCAGAATTCTGGTGCAGAGGAGTCAGGATTTCCTCTGAGTCATTGGTCGGCTTGGAATTTATCAGAACATTCAACTGACAGAAAGGATGTGTTAGAAGGCTGGGGTGAGGTGGGAGGGTAGGGAGGGGTTAACAGTTTTGCTGAATTAGCTTCATCAGTGTATTCTTCAGAAACCACCTCTCAGGACACGTTTGCAGCCTTTAAAATGATTGGTAGGGATAAACAGATAATTCACAAAGACCCCACTTTGGATAACATTATCAGAACAAGGGAATACTGAAGTGCTTTTCCCATTAAGCCTCTAGGTTGTAAAATGAATAGCAAGGTTTAGGTTAGGCTACACATTCTCTCCCGGATTTGCATTAGATTAAAAGCAAATTGGAGGTGTTCATAAACCAGTCAGCTTCTTCTGAGCTGCCAGTAGTTAGTTGTAGCATAGAGTTTAACTTGGAGAGCAAAATCTGAAGTTATTTCTCAAAAGAACAGTTATGGTCTTCCTATGTATGATTTTGTAGTGATTCAGTACTTACTAAATATGTGTGATATACGGATGTACTTGTCACATTAAATGTGTAATAGGAAGACATATTTGTCTTTTTCACTATTAAAAACCAAAATACATTTTTCACTTTACAATCTTGGATATTAAAATGTAGACATTGAAGTTCAGTGGCAGGCCAGGTATTCTAAAAAAGGGTAAAGAGGGAAAAACCAGCATAGGGGGAAGTGGGGCAGAAAGGAAGAAGGGGGCATCTGGACTTGTGTCTGTTGAGTCTGTAAGTCAGTGCTTAAGCAATAAGTACTGAATAACTTGAGACAGTCACTTCACACTTGAGCCCCAGTTTCTCATCTGTAATAAGAGTAATGTGTCTTTCTTATCAGCTTCATAGAATGTTATTTAAATCTTAAATTCTAGAGTCCTATACAAATTTGTTAACTTGCATTTAATATGAAAAATGTCTCAAAAGCATGGCTTTTCAACATTGGAAATGAGTCACTGAGTTAATTAGGTAATAAATGTGTAAATTCTATTAAGATAATGTTGCAGGTTTGTAGAGTGTCAAGTTCATGGTAGATATTTAATAAATTGGTTTGAGTAATAAATGAATAAGGAAAATAAACTAAGTCACATTTAAATTCTTCAGAGCTCTCTCTCCAAGCTAAAGAAGTTCAGTCACTTCTCACTATTAGCAAAAGTGAGTATACATGTATCCATGGAAGCAACTGGTTTAAATACAGACCATTTCAGATGGTTTTTGTATTTTGTGTATTTTCTTTTTTCCCAAAACGCAGACTGAGGACTGATGGTAAGGCCCTCAAGTTTTCCTCTGAAAAGTATGTGGTTGGTTACTAAATGTGAATGTAAATAATTTTAACATTTTTGTATCTGTGGGTAATTGTAAGAGTTAGGGTAATACCTACTGCAGACTAAAACCTTTTCCTTAAAAGGTTGCCATGTTTATGTCTTTTCAAAGCTAGGCTGACATATATTGGAAGTGAAAGCTACAATTTTTGATGACTTCCCTTTGGGGTTTTTGTTGCAGTTTGGCTTTTAGGTAAACAGAATTGCTTAACATTATGATAACACATATTTTCCATTCTATGGTGGAGGAAGAAACAGTGTTGTGGGTTGTCAAGAGTTGCCCAGCAAAACCACAGTTTGAGAATGGTTGAAACTAACCATACATTTTCCATGTTGGATCTACCTTGCCCTCTACTGGAGAGGCTGAACACTGGGTGAAGGAGGTTCTCAGGGTGGGTCTTGAACTTTTTGTAATAATTAAAAAGTTTAAATTACAAAAGTCAAATACAAGTTTCTAACAATACACAGGAAATATTACAAAGAGTAAAAGTTTACCTTGCCACATTTCTCCATCAATTGTTATAAAGTAAAAGTTTTTATGTACACTGATTCATAGGCTTTAGAAGTTTAGGAACCATGACATGGACTTTTCAAAATAAAAAAGTATCATTCTGTGTTTTACTTTTTTCAGTTAGAAATACACTTTAGTTCTTAAATTTGTAAGAACTATAACTTTTTAATATATTACTAATATATTTTAAGGATATGTGACAGCTGTTTTCCTTTTTTCCACTCTATTCCATCAGATTGATTTTGCAAGATTTTATACCTATTACCTTTATTTGTAATGTACTTAAAATTATAAATTTCTTAGAATATAATTTTCATTCTAATATGAGATTAATACTTAAAAATCAAGAAAATATTTTTTATTGGGAATGAATTAAGATTTTAAACTAATACTTGTGTGTATTACAAAAGAATTGATACTTTAACCAATGCTTTTAATAATACTATTTAGTAGATGCCTACATGGTTCCACCTTAATTTTATCCATGGTGTAGTGGATATTGTAATTCAAATGCAAGCAGAGTTTACTTAGATTTAATAGCTGCTTTAATGAAACATTGAGATTCTCTTATGATCCAATAATAGGCACTTAGGGAGTTTGTTTTTCCTGACTGAAAACACTAACATAGTGCATATGTAAGTGTGTCTAAAATGTTTCCTGAGCTTTATGTTCAAAACTGTTAAGTGTGAGGTTTAAGTTAGGGTAGAAATAAGAGTTAGGGTTGTTTCCTTTTGCTGCTCTCTGAGTATGAAATATTAGGAAAGAGAAGGTGATTATACTTTCTTACAAAATATTAGCTGCATAGGTAACATATTGTTACAAAGTGTTCATGTGATGTTAGGAATCTTTCTTAGCATTTCTTCTAACTGGGATTTTAGTTCTGTCTGTAGTAATGGAAGGATTTTAATTCTATCTGCAGTAACTGAAATATCAAAGTGTTCCACTGGGTATTTTTTTGAAACTTTTGGATAGAAAGTGAATTAGATGCAAATTTTCAAGTGTTTGTATATCATCAATCACTGAGAGTGTTTTTTCATGTGTGAAGAAAGGCGATTTTTCATCTGGGTGATAAAAAATTCATTTGTACTCCCCTCAGTACCCTGAACATCAATACTTCCCTATATAGAGTCTTAATCTATCTTAGACATTGGACAGTAGTGATCTTGAGCCCTGTGAGTATTCACTCCCAAACACATTTTTGAAATAAATTCCAAAATCTCTTCAGAAATACTAGGGAAAAAAAGACTGCTTTGATGCCAGGTGGCCATGACATATTACCATGTTATAAATATTCAAGTTTCAATGCTGAGCTAATGTCACTAGTTCTCCTAAAACTTCTAAGCTTCTAAAGACAAAATAGTTTTTCATTTCTTTTCATAATATACTTTTAAAAGAGCAGATTGTTGAGATGGGTTGCCTATAAATGGGACACTTGCCTTTGTTCTTGCTTGCTGCTCTATTTTAGTTACGACCTCAGGCAAATTGCTTTACTTTTTTTGTGCCCAGGTTTCTTATTTTTAGGATAGAAATAATGCTCATGCCTATCCTTTGCAAACAGGGTATTAGAAAAAGTTCTTGGGATGCCCTTCGCAGCTTGGTTGACTATAGTACCTAGTGTACAAAGCTGGACATTAGAAAACCCTTGCAGTAAGACTATTCCATTCTAGGTGATTTTTTTGCTTATTTTGTTGGCCTCTCCCCTCCCCCTGCTAAAAAAAAAAGAGGAAAAAAATAATATCTCTAGAGTAGTATGTTCCTCTTTACATGGAAAGGTTGAATCAAAAGAAGTCCTGAGTATGTCACAGTTTAAGGAGCACCAGGATATGTCTGCTTCTGTGTAGGTATATTAGGGATGTAAAAGGCCTGGTAGAGGTTTTGCTTTTGTGTTTCTGATGCAGGGATTGCAGATGATCTATACCCAACAATGGCCACTAGTAGCAGGCCATTATAGCTGGATACTTATTTTCTTTTAGGGGATCTATTCACTCATCGTATTACCTGGTGGTCCTTCAGTGTCCTAAATGCACTATTGGTTACATTAGTGGTACAAGACTACTTAAAGTTTTATTTTTTATTTTATTTTTTTGCAGAACCGGGGATTAAACTCAGGCTCTTGTGCTTGCCAGGCAAGTACTTAACTCTACTTAGCTATCTCCCCAGCCCCTAAAGTTTTATTTTTAAAAGCAAATTTAGGTTCACAGAAAATTTGTGAGGAAGGCCCAGAATTATCTCC